ATATATATATATATATATATATATATATATATATATATATAAATACTTTAAATGTGCAGTTGGTCCTTTAAAATGTTGGTAGGTATTTCAATCTGAAAAACTCACACAAAGAGAAAAGACAATTAGGAGAAATGTATTGATACAATTACTTGGTCTTTGCCGCTCAGAACTCTGCAAGAAACATAGCACTTAATTTTGATAGATATGAATGAACGGGAGCAAAGAATAGGGCTGTTTGCCCCCCAGGCCTGAAACTGGTGGTGGAGTGGAGATGAAGTTGGTCAGTCTGTAGAATGCTGGTTAGCGAGACGGTATGCTGAGCTTTATGGGGAGATCCAGTAGATTACGTGAGCTGATACTAGAGCTTTACTCAGGGAAGATGGAAGTCCAGTTGGTTAACACAGGTTGAGAGAACCTGTCCATGATGAGCAAGCATGGAGCGACAGTGGAGAGGAAAAACTCCCCGTTGGGAAGAATCCTCTGGCAGAACCAGGCTCAACATGGTGGTCTTCTGCCGGACCAGTTAAAATGAGACAGGGGATGCGGTGAGAGTCCGGGAGGAATGATAGTCTGATGAAGCTTTAGCTACTATGGTGGAGGAGGGGCTGGAGGTGGGTTGAAACTGTCTCATCTGAATGAAGTCACACAGCGCATCCACTTGCTGCACACAGGAGCAGACATGTACATATCTGAGGCCTTTAAAGATTAACTCTGGATGCCAATTGGCTTTCATCGAGGTGTGGTTCAAAGCTGATTAGCTGTGTCACAGGTGGATGAAGGAAAGCAATGAGTTTCTTCAGTTGAACTTCTGCCTAGGCTCCATTTAGCAGTTTCAGTTTCTCTACAAAATTACCTTTGACAGTTTTGCCTCAACAGCTTCAAGTATTTTGTAATATTTTTTTGATTAGCTTTTTTTCTAGAGACTGGAGTTTGTTCACATTATTTCCAAAATTTCTAAGGCTCAATCAGACTGGATGGAGAGAATTTGAGCACATCCAGTTCCAGGTGTCCAAAATCTCGATTGAATGTCAGTCTGTAGTCTGACTGAAGCATTCTTAAAAAATATTTTGTCCTAAACCATTTAACTGCAGCTCTAAATGGAAGGTGATTGCCCCATCACTAAAACCTCGAGTAATAACCTGTACCTGTACCTTTATCCATCTTCTTATTAACTCTGACCCTGTCTGTTTAAGTTAAGGGATTTTCATGGTATGATGCTCTTTTTTAATACAAATAATTAATAATTCTACATGTTTTTCTTCTTAATGGATAGTAAAAAGAGGCCAGTATCAAACTTTTAACAGGACTTCTTATGGCTTTCTTCACGTATCGCATATTTGTCCCACTTTCCAGGAAAAATGAAAGATACATAGGCATAGTTGTTACCTTAATACAAACTTCTTCATAAAGCATTTTTGTATGTTTGTCTTACAGACTGAATTTCAATTTTATATGCAAAATAATTTAAAAATCATACATCCTTTTCACCACTCTTAACTCCACACTTATGCTCTAGTTTGTGTAGGAATATCACATTAAATTCCAATAAAAAACATTATTTAACTGCAGCCTTGTAATGTGACAAATATGGGAAAATTGCCTTTTGTTTTCATGTTTTCATTACTATGTTTTTATGTATAAATCTGTATGTTTTAAGACAATGTCATTAATGTAGCAAATATTCCTTTATGAAGGAGTTAAAAAATTGGGTAATATCATTCTATCAAATCTCCTCTTTTAACAATACAGAAATATAAAATACAGAAATATAAATACTGAGAGAAGTCTGAATTTCTTAAATGGATTCTTTCAGGCCTGAAAGCAAACAATTTTCACTAACTGGGGCTAAAGCAAATGTCAAAATCAGAAACCAAAGTACATATGGGTTACATAAGATCTGATGAAAATTTTGTCTTTGTGTCTAAATACTAAATGTCCTTTATTGTACAAAACTCTGTTTCGTAATTTGAGGGCAACTTCTGATACAGTATATAGTTTTTTTTCTATGCCAAGATACTACCTTTGGCTTTTTTTGTCACCAGATGTTCTTTAACGATGGCATAAATGATGATTTGCACACAGAAGCCTAAATCTGCCATGAAACAGACACTCCTCAGAGATGTATATTATACAAGATCTATAGACAAGTTAATGGATGAGAAGGATACAGCGACGCAGCATAATACTGTGCAAAATATATTCCTCCCAGTTCAGCCAGTGTGGAAAAGCCACATGGATTATTAAATGTTGCAAACGCTGCTTCTGCAGCACATTGCCTCTTAATTTGACACGGGACATTGATGTGTCAGGCATAATCCACCTTTTAGGTTTAGGCATTCCTAATAGTTTACCGATGAGGAGAATCCATTAGAAGGATTGATACTAGTGCTGGGCAAGATGGGGGACAGTTTCCCACACCTGCACGTAAAAAACACTGAGAAGATGGAAGAGGGGATTGCTTTTTTGTTAGACACCAAAATTGTTGCTGAACTGTAAGGGTTGTGTGTTTGAGCATCAGTACTCTTTTAAAAAAAAATCGATTTTGTCCTGTTTCTCTCCACTGTCTGAGCCTGTAATCTGTGATACAGGGCATTTGCCCAGTGGGCCGCCGGTCCTATTTTCAGCATGCGAGGGCCGGCCCTCCTTAAATCATACCGGCCCCAGCACTTGCTCTCCGGCGAAGCTCCTATCTGTGACAGTAAATAACTTAAGGAGCTCAAGGAGTAATACAATATTAACTATTTCAATGATGCATGCAGTATACATAGCCATCCTTGTTATGCACATCCTTGTGACGGTTAGCATATGGTGTAATTTGCTATTTCTTCAAACTGTAAAACCCTTCCAAAAACTAAATTATAATAAAACTAAAATGCTTTCTTTAAACTAAACAACATGTTCCTCTTATGTTTGGCGATTTTATATTTGAATATTTTGCAAAAATATGTTGCAGTGCATGATGGGGTTTTGCATCTAAAGGCTAGCGTTTCCCGTCTTACATGCATTGTTGCCAGGTTGGGATGTTTCCCAATCTGGCAGGTTTAGGATGGCCGTCTATGGGTAAAAAAAAAAATTTCTTTAGATTTATGGCCTAAGTTTTGGCTCAAATTGGGAGAGACTTCATATATCCAGGCGGTGTATGAACATTTTTTGGGGTGTCGTTCCCAGTCCGAGCCTGGGTTTTATCATCCTATTACTGTATAACCTTCTTCTGACTAAATAAATTATTATTTAGCTATTTTTCCTATGTGTAAAACTGTTCTGTCCTTTCGGTAAAATGTGTGACAACAATTTTATCCAACAATGGCCTTGAATGTAGGTTTAAATCGACTAATCAAAATGTATGAAACAATATTTTGTACGCTATACATCACCTTGATGTTCCGTGGATGTATTTTTTTTTCCCAGTTAATCATGTTGGTGATAAAGTTGTAGCTCTCACCTTCAGATTGTTGTTTATGGCTCTTACTTTCCACACAATAGTAAAACTTATCATAATGTTTTGCCTCATTCATGTAGGACTTAAGTCTATAAAACTTACCAAATTCATTATTTGTTCTGGTTCTCTCTGTTATCCCCAAAATTTTAATCCTTGCAGGTATCGAACGTTCGTTTCCGAGGACGCCGGTCCCAACACGCTTGTTGCCACAGTCCTGGCCAAAGATCCAGATGGCGATGGCATAACCTACTCCATAACCGCAGGCAATGAAGAGGGAAACTTTGTCATTGACAGCCAGAAAGGTGATATTTCTTAATTTCCAGCTTGACATTATACTTCCACTTCTCACACTAATTGACAGGTTTGCTGTCAAATGATTTTTTTTTTCTAATGTACTGCTGCTGCAGAGGTGTGTTAAACGTCCTCTGGATAAAACGTCAAAGTGGGATGAAAGTGAAACTACTAATTTACAAAATGCAATTTCTCTGCTTTTTAAGGGCTGCTCCCTGTGCCATTAGGGTTATGAATTAATTTAATAATAATATGTTGTGGAATTTCAATACTTCTGGTGTTTTTTGTGCTTTGTAGAGAAAAAACTAATGCTTTCTAGCATAAGTGACTGCACAGTTTATCTTTTTTTATTTACCCTTTGATCTGAAACCAGTTGAAATCTCTGTGACATTTGTCACCCAACCCTTTCAATTCAATTTCACAACAACTGCTCTATCATAGCTCACATCTCCAGGCTGTGCACTGCTGGCTCCTCTTTTTTCGTGTCATCTCTTTATATTCCTTTCTGTCCTCTCTCTTTATTCTAATAATGAAAAAGTTTCATATTAATATATATATATATATATATATATATATATATATATATATATATATATATATATATATATATATATATATATACATAAATGATATGTATTAATTTTTATGATTATTTCCATCCTCGCCTCCACCGTCTTCTCTATTTTATATATCAAACTCAGGAAAGTATAATTTATTAGCTAGAGAAACTGGTGTTGCAATACCAAACAAGCTTGACATTTAAGGCAGGAAGATTACTTTGTACATTCTATAGTTCACCTATTGTAATGTATTGCTGTGATAATATTATTGTCAGGTGTTGCCATTAATGGCATAGACTCTACTTTTGTCTGCATGCATCAGGAATTATAAGTTAAGGGGGAGAAAGGACCATAACACCACTGCAAATATGTGTATTAGCATTCTGTATTTTCTTTAAGTGCATTAAAATAAATTACAAAAATGTAAAAAAAAAAAAAACTCGACAAGAAGATGAAAAACGAAATCTCACCATGCTCTCACTTCAGTGACTCCCCCCCACATCATAGGCAGATTGTTTGTTCGGCAATTTTTGACATTTCTGCATTACTTTTGACGAGAAAGATGTTGAATCAGATCCACCATCCTGTTATCCGATCTTTTTATCTTTCCTGTTATATAAAAGCAGGCAAAAGGGGCCAAGTTAAATGGCTAATAGGCTTCTGCTGAGCAATAGGGTAACTTCAAACCAGACTCCCCTCACTTCTTCCTGTTTTCACTCAAATGCTTGTGCTGCATGTGCATCTTCAGGGCAATTATTGTATCAAAAATGTACCAAAACCACAACTGTGAAATTAGTTTTTGGCTGTATGCTGCATATCAGATTTTTACCTTTTTGTGGACTTCTGTGGAGGGGCTTTTTCTTTGCTCTTCCCTCTTCATACTAGAACAGCAGCATGCAGGCTCCATTCTCTGCCATGTTTTACTGATAGCTACTTCCTCTCTATGCAGGCCCACTGTTGCAATAAGATTCTCATGACTAATGGAAAGGATGCATATGCTTTATTAGGACACAGCCTATTTTATGATGTGTATATTAATGGCTCTGAGCTTTCTGCAGGTTTGATCCGTCTGCGCTCTACTCCCCTGCCAAAGCTTCAAGGTTTGGAGTATGTCTTGAATGTAACAGCCACAGATGACAATGCATCAGGCGGGCTGCACCCTCTTAGTTCTAATGCCCGGGTCGTCGTTGGAGTTGATGACGTTAACAACAACAAACCAATATTTGAGCAGGTGAGAGTCTTTGCTAAGACAATTGCTGTGCTTGGTAAATTTGAATTGCTCAAATGCTGTTGACATTTGGGACAGCTTATTAATTCATTTTCATATTGGAAATGTCCTAGCATATATTTATGCTTGCTCAGTTTTCCACACTATTTTTTTTAAATGTTATGCGATTCACAACTATAGAGCAGAGCAGAATCTAATTTGTCATTTTATGTAGCAGTATAATGTCAAGGATTTGTTTTTTGTTGTCCTTGTCATTGATATATGTAATTGATCTGAATGTACAGCTATTATAAGGCATTACTATTTACACCACAGACCAAGCATTTCAAAACAAGATGTGATTGGTATGGAAAAAAGCATTGCTTTGTTGCTTTCCAACTAAATAGTCATGATGGTTCTTCAAAGAAACTGTTTTTCTTTTACAATTTACAATTATAAGCCATTTCATTCTTGCTGTGACACATTCATCTTGCCTAGATTGAATGTCTTTATGGCAGTCTCCTCGACCATCAATACCTAAACTTATGTAAAGATTGTTTATGCATCTCAATAAAAGCAAAGTCAGATCATGCAGTGAAAATATCTTGTTATCCATTAAGCTTATAGTGATTTTTTTATGCATGGCCCTTTGACTGTAAATTTCAAGTTCCTGTAAAATGTATTGCCTCAGTTAACCTTGTCTCAGTTTTTTAATGTAAACAACAGTTGTTTTATTTCGAAGCAAGACCATCATCTCTTCCGCCCACGTCACAAAGGTTCTGTTGTATGAGAAGTTTGTAGGAATTTTGCATGCTCCGTGGGCCACTATCTACTTCTTCCCCTTAAGTTGATTCAGCTCCTTGTTAATTTAAATTTAAATTAATTTCGTACTGAAATATTCGCATTTTGTTCAAACATACTTGTCTTTAATACCTGTAGGTAATCACATATCTGCCCTTTCTTGCCTCCCAGTTAAAAACATTAGGTTATATTTATTTTTGTGATGAATCCATTTAAATAATAATAATAAAAAAAACACACTCTTACCTCATGTTTAATTTAATTGTAAAAGGTCTTCTTAAAATATTTGATTATAACTTATGTGTGTAATTCTGTTCTCCAATTTTGACTAGTTTACATGTGGAGAATTTGGGAGATCCTCATTCCAAATCAAAATGATATAACTGTAAAGTGACCCACTGTAGTAACACATTTGAGATGGAGAGTGTGTGCTTTAGGAACATCTGTTGCATGTGGACATTGTGGCTTAAGTTGACATTAGAACCATGAACTTCAGTGTGCATTGAAGAGGATTTTATTTTAAATGTGTAGATGAGAGTCAGCCCTTCTTCAACTAAAGTCAGTCATGTGCAAAAGAAAGTGGACTTGACAATTCAGATTGTGGATCAATATCTACCATGAATAGGCAAGTTTTAGTGGTTTGGTTCTTTGTTTTTACTTTGCAGGACTCAAGGAAAGTGGACAATTTCATCATGTGATTGAAAGGCTGCATTGCTTAGGACTTTTGTGGTTAAAAAGTGTGCCAAAAAGAGGCTCCTTCAATTGAAAGGCTCCTCTAAATTTTTCACCTTTACATGGGTTATCAAGAAATATCTTATGGATTGAAAAAATTAGATCTGGCTAAAGTAGCCAAATATATATATATATATATATATATATTTCTTTAAGTAAGGTGGTTTATCTCAAATAGGATGAGGAGGCGTATCATTTTGGGGAGCTTGGAGAAGAGCTTCAACTGAGGTGGTTTTGTCATCGGATACCGGTACCTTTTTGATAAATCTCTTTTAAAGGTTTAATATCTATGTCACAAAGAGAGGAGACACAAACACAATGGGGTGTAGGAAAGCCTTGGGAGGATGCTGGAAGGTTTATTTGTGTAAAAGAAAGCCTGGCATTGGTAGTTGACCTATAATCTGACATTATATAAGTAGCTAGCTATAAATTTGTTGATGGACTATTTTCACTCCATCTCTTTATACTGTTATGCCTTATTCTTTTATTCATATTCTTGTAGTCTGTTCTGGATGATCTGAAATCTGCAGAAATAAAAAAAAACATGATTGTATTTTGGTGGCTGGCCCAACCCTTATCACTGTCATGCAGTTCTGCGTAATTCGGACTTCTCTTAAACTTCAGTCGTGCCTCCCTCTTCTCTCACCAGCTCTCTAATTTTCTTGGAATTCTAATTTCGCAGGCTTCCCTCTCTCTCTTTCCCAAGGGTTTCTATTAGTCTGCACAACCCACTCTATCTTTAGGCAATCTGTCGGGATTTCAACTGATTTATTAATAAAAGTGCAGTATCATCACAATATGCTGCACCTTCTTAATGAACTTCCTCCCTAATTAGAAATGACGAACTTCCTAGAGGACGCTGGCACGTGGAGCCTGCGTTCCTGTGGTGTTCTGGGCCATATGCAAACTCTCTGCAACTTTTGCAAATGCCAAGTTGTACTTATGAACAGCTATAGAATTAATGTTTTAGGATTCTGAATTTCTTTGAACAGCTAAAGAACACCCTCTGCTCACGTGTTTTGTCCCATCTCATCTCTCAGTCCAAACTCATTCTTCGAAAACTCAAAATGTTTTTCTCTGTAATAGCCATTCTATCAGAAAGGAAAACCATTCCTAATCTGGTACATATGCAAAAACAAAAACTGTTGACCGTGGGCACCCCAAAATAATTTAGTTCAAGTGTTTTCTATATCTGTGTGCTCCTGATTTAGTAATTGTTACATTACATTAATCTACTGTGCATGTCCGACTGATCTTGAAGCTATTTGATTTACTTTAAATCTTGTATTCTCAGTAATGCAACACTTCCTGACAATATGCCGTACATAACAATCCTTCCTTGTGCTATTTGTCTATGCTTTGTCTTCCTCTTCTTCCTCCCCCGCTCTTTATCTCAGTGCCAGCAGTACCGAGAGCAGGCTTCAGTGCTGGAGAACCAGCCGGCGGGGACTTTTGTGTTGCAAGTGCATGCAGTGGATGCAGATGAGGGAGCAAATGGGAAAGTGAAATATGGCTTAATGCATAGAGACAGCGCCATGCCTGCCTTCAGAATCCATCCAGACACAGGTAAAGAGTTGTGGATTGTTGCAGGGCAAAATTGGTCTCAATTATACATGAAACAAAGTGTGTCCTGTAGATAGACAGATCTGCAGTTAAATGGTACCTGACATCTGTAATGATCATTGTAAAACAAAATGTAATATGAGAGATGAGTAATGCATTGAGAAGACAGGCCTTAGAGAAGATGTTTAATTATTTATAATTTTAATATGAGATGTCCATGGTGTAAGAATATAAGTGACAAAACATATAACTGAGCAGAGGTCTGAGGTTTATAGTATCTCTTCAGTGTGAAAAATGGTTTAACATAACTACTTGAAATGTTAATTTGTCAAGTTACGTTTTCCGTCAATCATTTTCTCTCCAGCTTTGGTTGTTTCTTCTTTTAACTTAACACTTAATCACAAAGTTTTGCACTTCTTCAAAGGGAGACTTGAATTGCTAAGTATAAATTCATAATTGTTTACTTGTCTGGGCTTATGGATTGATGGATGGATGGACTCAGTTGAGAGAATTGGAAAACTGCTGAACGGATGAGTGAATTTATAAGCAATCATGTGTGTATATTTGCCAGAGGGTTGATGAAGGGCCTTGATTATGGTTCTGACTTTACAGGAGTGATTGTGACAGCTCGACGCTTCGACAGGGAGCGGCAGAGAGAGTATTCAATTACAGTAACGGCCACTGATTGGGCAGAGGAGCCGCTCATTGGCATCTGTCAGCTCGCCATACAGATACTGGACCAGAATGATAACAGCCCCAAGTTTGAGAATTTGCGCTATGAGTGTAAGTGTTGGACATATATTATTCATGAGCCAAACATAGTAAAAGTGAAGCCTAGCCAGAACAATAAACAATACAAAGACATAAATAGACAAGGCAGATGTGCAATTTGATAAAAAAAAAAGAGTCCATACATAAAAAGATGCTTTTGTTAATAGTTAAAATATTACTTTTTTAATGCACTTTGTGCTTCTTTCTGGTCTAAATTGTAGTACAAATAAAAAAATGGGTGGTACCATTTATTTAAATGATCACTGTAGGTTTGTAATGGTGGATCGAATTGATCGTGGCTTTGTCTAATGTGTGCCAAATAAAAGCCATTAGGTGTTTAATAGTGATATAGATAATTAAAGGAAGAAAGTCTACTTTATGACGTCCCCTAACCCAGAGTTCCTTTAGAATTTGACTTTTTCTGCTTACCTAATAAAGAAACACCTTGTTGAAGTTTCCACGAATCTTAATGGGCATGGATGTGATATTGATGTAGAGCTTTTCATTACTGAATTGATTCTTTCTATTTTAGGATAGGATTTCCATTAACTATTTTATTACATTCTGAAACCAAGAATTCAGTGCAAAGTTCCGTTTTTTTTTTTTAGATTTTCTTTAATTCGTCCAGGTTCAAAATTAAATTACGTATACAAGCTTTTATTAAAATTTACTACCTCGCTAGCTAATCTTTACTGGATGTTTAACCACCAGCCTTTGGAAATCTTTTCTTTTAATATTTTGGATTAATTTTGTTTGTGAAACGAATAAATGTATTTAATGACTTTCCTATCTGTTTACTCACATGTGTTGGACAAATCACTTCTCAGTTAAGCCTTTTGCCATGCACATGCTCAGCCCATTGCGATGTAAAACTGAAGCCAAGAACAAATTTGAACTTTATTTAAACTAAGGGTAGCGGGGTCAGACAATTAAATTTTTGAAATAATTAGGTCATTCACAACCATAATTGTTTTTGAATGGATAAAAAAGGAACCCAGACATTTTAAATTAGCTTCAACAGTTCTACTAGAGTGGTGATTAGTCAACCAAATACATATGCCACCAGCTTTTTCATAGCAACTGAAAATTGGTGGCTGAGATGCAATTTGCTGAGAGACATCAAAAAGGAGTCTCCTACTGTAGAAGTCCAGCATAAGAATTGTGCTCCCAACTCTTATTGACATTGATTGAAGTTGTCTTATGTTGGATCATTCAATACTAGAAGAAAGAAAAACCCTCAAAATGATTATTAATAGTCAATGATAAGATTCACTCCTTTGGTAGCTTTATGGATATTTCCCATGATAACTCAATGTAATGTGACCTTTATCATCTTTCACTTTGTGCTAAGTCAAAAGAACAAAAATTTTTATTAAGTTATGAGAAATAATTTATTTGTTTTCCTTCCTAGATTTTTTAAGAGAAGACACCTTGGTTGGTACCAGTTTCCTTCGTGTTGCAGCTCATGATGATGATTTTGGTACTAATGCAGCCATTACTTACTCCATGTCAGTGGAGCAGCCTGAGTACCTGCAGGTCAACCCTGTGACTGGATGGGTCTTTGTCAACCAGCCCATATCTCAGGTATGTCAGCATTCACTAGGTCTTTCAGCAAGCACACATGAATATATAAATTCATGTTTACTGTCTTTATAAGGGCTTTGTATTTATTTGCATTAATTGTTCATTAAATGAGAAGTCCGGTCAGCAAGGAATAATCAGTGAATCATTATCTATAGCTAAAACTAATATGCTCGCTGTGATTTAATGAATTAAGCATTAATCAGTAAAAAATAAAAACAATAATATTTATTGCTCACTCTTGACATCTTTCGGCAGTGAAGTCACGTTGTGGTAAGCCGAAGGCCATTCTCTCAGCTTTACAAGCAAAATCAAAATCTGATTATTGATCCTCCACGGATTCGTCATTTGATTGCCAACTTGAAGAGGGAGGATTTTCCATTGAACTTCTGGCCAGAGAAAAAAACATGTAATATGTAGCCAACATTTCGAAGAACAATGTTTTCAAGATGAGTTGGATAATAGCCTGTTGTGACAAACACCATATACAGCATTGGAACTTGCTCAACAGCCGATACCGCACTGTGACTTCACAAACCAGTAGTTGGCAGTAGTGTTCTTTGACAAACATGGATGTCTCCAGTCAAGCAAATTCAAATGAAAATTACTATACAGTAATTAAAAACGCTTTTCATTTATTGAACATTATGTAATAATTTCATATTTAAAGTACTTTCAGAAGTTTGAATTCTGATTATGACCGGACTTCTCCTTTAACTCATATGGCCTAACCCAAACCCCAACCCTAAGCCTTAATAGAACCACTGCCAGATACAACTAACCATGACCTAAACTTAATTTACACCACCATATCCTCATTTTCCGAAAATGGCATAATTTTGCTGGTAAATTATTAGAAACAGATATCTCTCAGCAGCAAGTAGAAGTCCACACACAGTACAACACACACATGCACAGTCAAAATGGCTGCATTAGATAGTAGCCCGTGGGTCTGTGTCAACAAAGTTAATGAACAAGTCCCATCAAACTGCCTCTGTCTGCGACTACCATTCTGCTCTCTTTTCTCAGGGGTTTTTGCATATGGGAAGCACCACAGAGAAAAAAAAAAAACAGTTCAAGCTAAACAAATGATTCAAAGCATATTTAACAATGTCAGATTCCTGTAGGTAAATTTGAAGACTACCACGCTAGGCTGAGTTGTAAAAGAAAGTACTTATCCTCTTGCTTGCTGCTGATGACTGTTAATGGATGGAAAACATTTTAGAAGCCATTTATCACACAGAGCAGCTGCATCCTTAATTACTCTGACTTTCATGCATTGAATTTAAGACATTTTTGGTGCCATTTATAGTCTCATACTTTAGAAGGAAAACTGGCTGCAATCGGCAACCAACATTTTTTTCAAATGTTTTAAAGGCATGTTGAAGACTGTCATTATGCATCAAGCCTTAATGCAAGCTGTAACACTAGTACACTACAAAATAGTCACTTACCATATTGATAAATGAGAGAATAAAATAAATCTCTCTGTTCAGTTTAAGACCTCCTATTATTGTACAAATAGTTTTTCCTTAAGCAGTTTTAAAAGATATTTTCTCTGTGGGAGCTATAGTTAACAACATTCATTCTTCTTTTAGCTGTGAGCGGTCATTTATTATTTTCTATTATAAACTGAGGCTACGTTACGAGATGTCTATATAGGTTGGCAGGCAATTTAAAACATGGTGTTACAAATGGACCTAAAGATTATGGAGTACACATTTGAAACTTTCTTTAGCATCTCATGTAACGTTAAGACGTAACCTTGTGAAGTTGTCATTCGTAACTGTAGTCGTCTGACTTTGGTGCACTACCAAAAGAATGTAGGCTGTTAACTTAAATCTTAAATATTCCAGTCGCTGCAGATGCTTCCAAATCCGGTATATGCCATGAGGGACCAAAGTTTAAGATGATTTAAAAGGGGAAAAAAAGCTAACGTTTGCTGTAACTAGTTTTGTCTTCCTTGAATCTGCTGAAATCAACTCTGAGTCTATTATTTATAGTTCTTATCTTACAAATTTAATGAAACTTTTCCAAGCAAGTTATGAAATAATGTTGTATATTATATGGCTCTTTGTATATTCCAAACACATGTGAAGCAAAATGACTAGAAAGGAAAAGGGGCCAAAAAGACCAGTACTAACCAAAGCCCAGCTAAATCTCTGAAGTAGTTGAAGGAATAAACAACATTACTCCTAAATAAGCCTCCATGGAAAACTAAAGTTCCCTTTCAAATAGCTAGCTTCTTTCATAGTTTTTACTTCCTCTGAATTTATCAACCAGTCTCTAGTACTGAATATGAATTAGTAAGCCAATTTTCTTACTTTTGAAAGTAAATCTAAACAATCAATAAATCCTTTAAAAAAAAAAAAAAACTTGTCTGATTTGGGAGACATTTAGCTTGAATTGGTACTTTTTGTTTGCAACCTGTGAATGACTTTTGACCAATGTGTTTTTTAGGCGAAATGCAGACCTGTTTTAGTCAGAATTAATCAGAAGAAAAAGCAACAAGTAGCAACCCAGTGTTTTTGTTGTTGTTTTTTTTTAAGAAGCATACCTATCCTGGTAAGAAAATTACAAAATAATAGTCTATGGTGTATTTACATGGGACATTCAAGTTTTTATTGATAATGCATAACATACCTTTTTCAAAGTATAAATGTAACCCATTGTCATCTGTTTTGGCTACAAAATAAAGATTAAAAACTGAATGCTCCTATTGTGGGACAATAACAGCATTCTCTTTATGTCACAAAGGTAATACATGAAAATTACTGTTCATTGCAGCGCAACTGATGTTTTTTTTGTGGCAACAAACTGGGCTTTGTATCTCACAGTTTCAAACATCTTTTTGTCAAAGCACACCCTTTCATCTTATATTGTTAGATGACACTAAAATGTATGTGGTTTCACTCAAAAGTCTGTTTAATTTATGCACTATAAAAATATATAAGACTTTTTTATGACTTTGAGTATATCTCCTGTTACATAAAAAACAAAACTTTATATACACTGCTCAGAAAAATCTTAATGTGTTGACAGCAAAACAACACAAAAGTCATTAATTGAAATCAAATTTATTAACCAACGGAGGCCTGGATTTGGAGTCACACGCAAAATTAAAGGGAAAAAACACAACAGATGTTTTGGAACAGCTGATCCAACTTTGATGCAACGCGGTTAAAACAGGTCGAAATTAGGCTCAGTATTGTGTGTGGCCTCCATGTGCCTGAATGACCTCCCTACAACCCCTGGGCATGATCCTCAAGAGTTTTAGGGTGGTCTCCTAAATGATCTCCTCCCAATTACTGGACCAAAGCATCCGCCAACTGCTGGACAGTCTGTGTTGCAATGTGACTTTGGTGGATGGATCGAGCCATGATGTCCTAGATGTACTCAATCGGGTTCATGTCTGGCGAACAGACGGGGCAGTCCATAGCTTCAATGCCTTCATCTTGTAGGAACTGCTGACATACTCTAGCCATATGAGGTCTAGCATTGTTCTGCATTAGGAGGAACTCAGGGCCAACTGTAACAGCATAAGGTGCTTGATGACAATCATGGTACCTCTGGCGAGCACATGGCATGGAGGGCTATGCGGCCCTTTAAAGAAATGCCACGCCACACCATTACTGACCCACTGCCAAACCGGTCATGATGAAGGATGTTGCAGGCAACAGATCTCTCTGCACGGTATCTCCAGACTCTGTCACGTCCATCATGTGTGATCATTGTGAGAACAGCTTGCATTGATGTGCCACAGGTAGCATTGATGTAAGCTGTACTACCTAAGCCACTTGTGTGGGTTGTAGAATCCATCTCATGCTACCACGAGTGTGAAAGTAATTCCCACCAACATCCAAAATAGACCAAAACATCAGCCAGAAACCATAAAGGTGGTTTGTGGTCCCCAGGACCTGCAGAACCACTTCTTTATTAAGTGTCTCTTGATAACTGTTAATAATTTCCAACTGTTGTCTATTCCATTTCCAAAACAGCTTGTGGAATTGATTGTCAATCAGTGCTGCTTTCTAAGTGGACAGTTTATTTAACAGAAGTTTGATTTAAATGAAGTTACATTATATTGTTTATGTGTTCCCTTCTTTTAAAACAGAGTAGTTTAAAAATATATCTCATGGTACTTCACAAAAATGTACCAAGAGATATCCATCCATCCATTCATTTTCCATTTTCAAATGTCATATTAGCATAACATGCATTTCCCAGAGTACCCAAAGAAAATCCAGGTAGTCGGATGATACCAGGCAGGCAGAGGTTTATGTGGTTCATAGATATATTTCTCATTAAATCATATGTTTGTTGATAACAATACGTACAAATAAAACTGTCTGGTTTTATTGTACCTGTAGTATTTTCAATCCAACTAAAACACTACACATTTTTTCTTTTTTTTTTTTTTTTTTTTTGTTTCAGGTTCAGTTCCATTCTGTTTACATTTTTTATAAGTGTGTTGTTGACTTTCCCTGACCCAACAGCACTCTCCATGCTTTTTGTTTCTCTGTTATTCAGTTGTTCTTTTATGCCGACACTTACCTTTGCACTGTAGGGTTGTTTATTATTTAACATAGGTTTTAGCATGCTAGTATCGGAAGTCCACAGCAATATTGACTGTCTGATTTCAGTACTAACCTCATGCAAAATTAAAACTGGTAAGCCTAACCCTTGTGAAAAGATAATACTACATATTTTATAATGTTTTTAGTAGCTGTTATAATCATCCTGCAATCAGGCTGAAGCTGAAATTATGAACATATTTGTGTTTATATTTTCAATTTATAAATATTCTGAGACTAGCTCTATCTATCTATAATTTACTCATCACATGTCAGATTACAAAATAACAATATAATCAGTCTTAGACCACTTTTAAATAGATTTAAAACTAATTTATCAGCACATTGCAATGGTTCAGCTGCATTAAAGGGAGAAAGGCAACTGAACAGAGGCAGCTATTTTTATCTCTTACTGTAAGACATTGCAGT